GGTGAGGAGAAGTGGGTCAGAAGTGCCAGCCCACCTCAGACCAAACTGCTTTATTTCAGCCCACCACTCTGAAAAGGCTGCTAACCAGGAGATGTTCACCCCTTCTAATACCACGAGTCCTCTTCAGGCCCGAAGTGTCCCTATTGAATTTAACCAACATATTTGTCAGGATTTTCACTACGCCATACATAGACACAGAGCAAAACCTTCTGTTCCTCACTGTGGGAGGAAGGGGGCAGGTACTACATATTTCAATATGTAAATGTCCAGAGGTTCACCACTCAGTCCAGAAAAACTAACTTCACAACACCTGGGGAAAAAAAAAGGGGTGGGGGGAAGGGGGAGAGTTTCAAGCATCATATTTGATCTTCTAGTCTGCTGTCCATTCTAGTTAGGGATTCATTCAAAAAACAGTCAGTGAAAATATTAAAGATTTTACATGCACAAAGAGAAAAACTGCTGAGCCATGTTCACACAGATTTGCTAATTAAGGTGTAAACAAGGTTTGGGGGGGTGGGGTTTAAAACACAGGTTTTGCACACTTTCAGTGCTGCAAGACCCGTAGCTCTACTGCTTTGCACAGATATACATCATTGCACAGGATATCTTTTTGTATATGTACCGTGGTTAGCCAAATATGAAAAAAAAATTGTAAAAACTCAATCCCTGCTGTAATGTCATTTCTGAGTACTGAAGGAAAAAGGACAAGTTTCCCTAAACACTTGCAAATTAGAGCATACAGTACTGCTCATGAATGCTTAATGTTCAGGCATTCTAACACACGCACAGAAACTTTCCAGTGCTGGGAAAAAGGAAGGAACGGGGGGTGGGGAAGAAGGGAGAGGGGTAGAGAGCATGAGCGTGCACGCTCACTGAAAAAAAAGCAAGCAGGTTCCAGGATTTTGAAAAGAAAGCATCAGCAGCATCATTAATAAGAAATGTAAACAATAGATAATGATGTATCAAAATAAAAGGCAAGTTATTAAAATCAGTTTGTTGCTGTAACATTACTACCACTATTAAAAAATAACCAGTTCTGAATTTGGCAAAAGGAAAACAGTAGTAAACTATTATTTATTATTACAGAAGGTTCAGAGTAGGAAATCCAGATATGTTAGCATGCTGATTTCCCTTTAAAATCTGTTCACAGAAGCTGGGAGCAGAATAAAGCCTTGTAATCCTGTAAAGGAGGAGGTATACGATTGACTATCATAGCTGTGAAAACTAATCAAAATTGTTGCAACAATACAACAAAAGAAAAAAAAAATCCCCAAAAAACCCACAGTGCTTTACCAGAAGAAGCCCAATATCAGTTTGACCCAGCTTAGCCAATGTTTGAATAGTTCCATACTTCAGTGGGGCTTTTTGGTGCTTTTATCCAACACCTGATGGCAGCATGCAATCTATACAGACGTTAAGTGAGCTGGGTCAAACTGATGTGAGGCCTCTTTTGGGCATGTGCTGTGCTCAGCACAGTTGTGCACCACACAAAGTCAAGCACTGTTTTGTTCTGGGGGGGGGGGGGGGGGGGGGGGGG